AAGTGCCTACTATGTACCATGGGGGCAGCTAGGTACTGAATTTGATAGTGCAATGGCCCTGGAGTCAGGAGGACTTGAGTTCAAATCTGTCCTCTGGACTTAATTAGCTGTATGACCCTGGGCAGGTCTTATAACCCTGTTTGCCTCAGTTTCTCGGCTGGAGAAGGAAATGGCACATCACTTCAGTATCTCTACTAAGAACACCCCAAATGGGGTCACAGAGGGTCAGACCCGCCTGAAACAATATGTACCAGGCATTGTGCCAAGTGTTTGACAAATTTTCTCTCATTTGGTCTTCACTTGAGGAAAGGACCTCAGGGCATCTAGTTCAATCCCCTAATTTTGCAGATGAGGAAACTGAGGCCTGGAAAAGCTGTGACTTGCCTAAGGACACAGAGGTAGAAAGGCAAAGCTGGGATCTGAACCAGTCTTTTGACTCCAGGCTCCATATTCTTTCCATTTGTGCCACTATAGGCACCAAGCAAGAGAGGCTGTTTCTAGATGCCAGGGGACCTGGGCAAAGCTTTGCTCCTGAAGATGTAATGAGAAGTAGCCTGAGGCAACTGCACTCTGTCCACCCAATAGCTACCTAGCAATTAGAGAACTTGGAAGGGTCCTATTTCCCGTACTGGTACCCAGGTGGCAGCTTGCATCAAGTTCCCAGGGCCCCGAGTGAACTGGACTGACCTGGCAATGAGCTCTGGCCTCTCTTACACAATACCTTCTATTACCTAAGATTAGGAAGTTGCTGTGAGTTGCACAAATATTTCTGAAATCCAACTCATAAACACAAATGTGTTTCCTCACCAGTGGAGGTAGGGCTTTATATGGTGCTGACAGTCCCAGACAAAGTAAAGACAATTCTGGGTATGTATAGTTAGAAGGATGGAGATACTAAATTGAATTTTGAGATTGAAGTCTGGCTGTTAGTACAAACTCTTTGTTCCAAAGCAGCCTAGATAGATAGCTCCTGTCTGTTGCTGCCACAAAATTTAAGGTTTCGTCTGCAATTCTATTATAAGCCTTGTGTTGGAGAGGTTTGTGGACAGGCCAATAAAAGTCTAGTCTAGGCTGGAGACCCAAGATATAGAATCTCACGCTCAACAGGATTTTGAATATGTTTATTTAAAATATGTACATATGTGGAAATGATGAAACAAGCCTTGGAAGGGAGCAGGATTGTCAGCTGCAAGAAGGTTCAGGAGAAGGCTCAGTGGGCTCATTGAGGGGGATGGGAGTAGGAAGGCTGTGTTCTCAAAGAGCTCTTTGTTTGCTAGAGAGGAAAATGATGTAGTGGCAATGTGATTCTGATATAACCCAACAAGGACATAGGGTTTAATTTATGATTTCATCTGAAATGTTCCTACTGGAAACACGACTCCACATGCCTCCCCCTTGCCTGGAATTGCGACTGCAAAAAAAAAAAATGGACCAAGACAGAAACAAACTGATAGCCTGGCTAGAAATCAACAGGGTCCTCAATCCTTAGATTTCCAGGTGCAAAATGTTTATGAGCCCAGCAGGAAGAAACTTCACCCCTTTATCTGGAGATGACTTCTCCCAATCCTCCCTGCTCTACCACCACCAAGTTTCCTCTGCAGCTGCTACCAAACACTGTTTTCAGAAGTGGGGTACAGGGAGCACAGTTACTACATTTGCCTTTCCCTGTCTGAGATGGAGTTGGCAGGAGATCCTGAGATTCACAACCTATTAAAAAAAAAAAGGCTCGCCAACCAACATGACCTTTCCAGACGATGAATTCACTGGGTGAAGAGAGTTTCAGAAAGGATCTTCTAGACTTGCATAAGCCGATACACGCATAAGTAATACTAATACTGGCATTCCAAGGGCCTGAACACCTGGTGAATTCTCCATGCTACCAATTGGGCCGTATTAAGTATCACCTTCCCTGTTCCACAAGGTTATGTTTCAGATAGGAACCACAAAGTTACTAACATTTCATTTCCAATTAGGACAAGTTCCAGGTTATTCCCCCATCCCCACTCCCCCAGGGTCCTAGTTGACACCTGACTGATAAACCTTGGCTCAGGCTACACCACTTCCTTTTAAGCTCCCAATCAGATATCTCTAGACTCTTCTTGGAATTTCCTTTACCCACATTAAGAGAACACTTGCCATGGGGAAGGGAAAGCCTGGAGGCATTTCCCAATGGAAAAGTCTGAAGATCTTTGCTAATTAGGTAAATTTATTGGATGAAGACTTCATCCCTATACTCTGTTAATCCAAGATTTGTGGCACTCAGGGACCCTCTAGCAGGAGGAAGAGCTCAGGCCACCACCCTGAGCAAATGAGAAAAGAAAAGGCTTACATCTGAGCAGTCAGGATAAGGAGTTAATTGGGCTAACCAAGCCTTTATGACCGGCCGGCTCATCCCTTAAATTCAACCCACCCCCCCTTCACAACAGAGTTATAAAATAAACAGACAAAGGATCATGTTCCCAGACACGTCATGGACTTTAAAAACAAGCAATAATGCTTAGAGAGCATTGTCCCCCTAGGGCTTCAAGGTATCTCACAGCAAATAACTGATATCCACACAACTACCCCCCACACCATTGTTTTCAAGCTGATGGTGAAAAATGGACACAAATGGAGAGTAGGAGTAGATATCTTAAATCCCTCCAGATGTAAAAATTCTTCGATTTTGATTCTGTAGAACAAGAGAAAGTTGGGGGAGCTAGATGGCGCAGTGGATAGAGCACCAGCCCTGGAGTCAAGTCCGATCTCGGACCAGATACTTGACACTGACTAGCTGTGTGACCCTGGGCAAGTCACTTAACCCCAATTGCCTCACCAAAAAAAAAAAAAAAAAGAAAGAAAGAAAGAAAAAAGAAAGAAAGTTGGCTGGGTAGAGTCTCACCTAGCTAGGTTGGGAGAAATGGGTTTGAAACCAAATCTCAGGAGTGAAGCTACAGCTTGGTCAACTAAGGTCAGTCTGCCCTGATCGAGGTGTTTCACCCAGTAGTCCTTTGCTTAAGAAGGGGGAATGGGGAGATATTACTATTTTGTTCATATTCTCTCTTGCCTGCCCCCACCCCAGCCCGATATTTTAACAACTGCCACAGTGACCTTACCAGTCAAGTTATTAAGTCATCAAATAGACCCGACTTCATGGGGTCCTGCCATTACATAGGCAGATGAAGGAGAAATTCTTAAAGTAAAGGAGATAGTCTTAAAAGAAACCACACCAAAGGCAGAGCTGGGATCAGAGGCTTTATCTGCACTTTGAAGCTGGTGAAAAAATCTGATTAAGGAACAAAAAGTAACCAAATCAGCCCTGGAGCTAAGCTTTATTTCCAATCTGGGAAGAAGTACCATAGTATAGCTGTGGGAAGTCCATGAAGGAGGAAGTCGGAGAAGAAAGGGAAGAACATGATTAAAAGGGGAGAGGGGGGAAGGGAGAAGAAAGAAGTACTTGGTGCACATATTTTCTGTAGGTTTTTTGAAAACGCAAAAGGCACATCTCACCAAAGCAGTGGCAGAAGCCTCTAACACCTGAATTTCAACCCCTGATCTGAACAGCAGGAATAGGTGAGGATGAAAATTGGCAACAATATATCCAAGCTTATTTCACAGCTCTAAGGCTTATAATTCAGTGAACTCCCAAAGTCTGTCCAGATTCCTTCCACTTGTATAGGTCTCCATCCCTCCACACTTCAGTAGATAGCTCTTTACCACTTTAGAGGCAACTGGTGACATAGTCGATAGAGGTCAGGGTCTAGAGTCAGGAATATCTAAGTTCAAATCTAAACTCAGTAACTTACTAGCTGTGTGAAACTGGGAGAGTCGCTTAACCTCGGCTTGTCTCAGTTTCCTCAACTGTAAAATAGGGATTAAAAAAAAAAAAAGCACGGACCTCCGAAGTTGCTGTGAAGATAAAATGAGACTTTCTAAAAACCTGGCACATAGTAAGTGTTCTATAAATGCCTAGCCCCTTCTCCTCCCTGCTACTAGCTGTGCCAGTTGAATTCACCACTTAGTGGCCAACTTTCTTTGAAGAAGAGGCTGGGACTCAGATAACAGACACTCACAGGCTTTGAAGCTCAGTCAGCACAGCCTTGAGAAGCCAGGGTCACTCCACAGCATAGAAGAATTAAAAAACTTTCATAGAGGACTTTTGGAGAAGCTTGATAATTTTCAGCTGATAGATTTAGGATATCTCCACTAAAGACTCCACTAGCTGGCCCTCGAATCTCCAAGGCTATGCCAGTGAAATGCAAGCACAGGTCCCGGCCACGATAGAAAGGCTTGGAAAGAAGGCCCCTTCAGTGGATAATGATATATTATGTTATGGTTTGTAAAAAGCATGTTATAGTTTGCACAGTACCCACACCAGTGAAATCTCAGATGCTGGAGGTATCCTAAGGAAGTCCTAAGATAACTGAATTAGGAACAGGCTACAGAAATTCCCTTTATATATTTTTGCTTTCCTAATATTGCTTTAAATGTATATTAACTTTCCCTTTCCTTGGGCATCCACCATTCCCCAATCCCCTGCTACCATCACTACTGCCAACACAATCCCCATTACATAACCAAGAAACCAATAACAACCCAGGTTAAAGTTCAAACACTTTTTGTTATGGAAACACAGGAGTTCTTCAGGACAAAGCCATTACTGATTCAGCAATAACAGCCTGGCTCCATCTCCAGCTAATGCATAGAATCAGCAGCTAAATTGTACTCCCCTCCTTTTCCTTCCCTATCTCTCTGCTCTTTACAAACAGCTAATTACACCACATAGTGAGATGGGTCAGACTCCACAGATGGAGAAACAGAGATGCAGAAAGGTTAAGTGTCTTCTTGCTCAAGGTTGCACAGTGAGTCAATGAAACAGCCAAGAACTGACTCCTGATGTCTTAAGACTCTAACAGCTGCTCTAACTATGCATAAAATCAGTGCTTGAGCATAAAAAAGAGGTTATAAAAAGGAACAGGTATATGACAATTCTTCCAACATTAAATAAAGGACAAAGTAGGTTCAAAATGATGCATACTTTTATTCTACGTGATGGTTTTTTCAAACAATGACATGAATTTTTTTCGTCCAATCATTGCCACATAGACAAAGAAAAACAGAGATACTTCAAGGAGCTGTGATTTTATGGGTATGGAACTCTCACAGCAGCTGTGCTTAACTTAGCAAGATGAGGCTTAGAGAGTTGCCTGAACCTCAGAGAGGTTAAGTGAATTGCCTATAGGCACACAGCTAGTAAATGTCAGAGATGAATTTGGAACCAATCTTTCTGTGTCCAAATCAGAGACTCTTCTTTCAGGCTGCTTCTTTTTACCAGGATAACAAAATGATAAAATATCTTTGAAAGATAACACATATAGCTCAGTGTCATCTCTTTATTGCAAAAAAGTGACAAGTATACAGGAGAATCTATGAAGTACATGGGAGCCATAATGATGGATATCTTCCTTGCTGAAAATGAACCAGTCTCTAACATTTATGACAGTTCATTTCTAAGAACTTTACATTGTTTGTGTCAACAGGACTATAACATGCCATTCTTATCAGCAACGGAGGGACTTGGCATTCTTGGGTCACTAACACTGACAAGAAACACAGTATGTCTTGGGAACTATAAATTGTGAAGGGCCTTCTCTTCAATTCATCTATGGAAATTGACAAGACAAAAAAAAAATCCATGAGGCTTTTACCCTCTCTGCCAGAGAAAGGAAAATTGATCATTAAAATGAGGGTGGTACCAAGCCAAAAAAAGGACAAAATGCTTAAATGTAGTAAAGGAAGTAGCCCTTTCCACATTCAGAGGTAACTGACCAACTATGTTTCATAAGCCCAAGAAACACAAGTTGCAGTGAAATATTTAAAAATCTATCTTTAAAATCTATTGCGTGCAAATCAAGATTAAAAAAAATCTGTCCTGTTTTCTGGCCTGGTCACTAACTTTCATCACCACGGCCATCCTGGAGGGGTTTAACCACGGTAATTCATACTGTGACCCCAAACCAAAATAACAGGATAAAATTTTCAGGATTTGCATTCCTTACTAAAGCTTTGTGGAAATCTGGTTTATGCTACTTAAAGTCAATCAAATTCTCTTTCAAAACTAGACCACATGGAGTTCAGAAGATCATCATTTGGAACCTCAGGAGGGGAGAGGGCATGCTGATTAAAAATATGATGAGATTAAACAAGAAATGAATGGCTGGCTCACACTAAGAATTCTATCTCCTTATGGCCAAAAGTTTAAGAAAATCTAAGTTTTATGTATTTGGAATTTACACTCTCACTAAAGAAACAAAACAAACAACCAAATTCTAATTCAATTCTACAAACTTGATGCAATAGGTGGTTTGTTCATCACTGAGTTTTTATTTACTCTGCCCATTCTCTAAATATTGGCCCTTTTCTAGACAGAACCTACCTAAAGGAAACGAGGAAAAGCGGCCCAGAACCTTGGGAAACAGGCTGCACTTGAACTCAGAGGATCTGGGTTTAAATCCCCTCTCTATCATCACTTGTCCGGTCTTCTTCAGTTCAGTTGACTTCTCTGGCCTTCCCTTAACTCATCGGTAAGGAAGGAGTTGGACAAGATGGCACCAAAGATCCCCTCCAGCTCTCCATCTAGGATCTTCTGATCTCAAAGCCGTTGTAATTTCATCAGTGGCCTTTTGGTCCACTGGTCTGAACTTTTATGAACTCCACTTCCAATCGATGACTACAAAGTAAATTGGTGGTTGAAATGTGTCCATAACCAGTATTGGGCAGTATCTACTGCCCAATTACTTTCCCTTTGGAGCTGAAGTTTCATTGTCTGAGAAAAAGAAAAAAAGAAAAGTAACAGCTTAAATTTTGTCCATACTGAACTATGAACACATTCTGAGAAGGCCTTCCCACTAAAATGAGGTTGTTTCTATTCATCTGATATCATCTGGATTAGAAAACTCCCAGGAGTCCCCATATACACTCGAGACTCATTTACATTGACTGAGTTCTGGCTGTGACATAGACATAGATCTCACAGAGTGGGAAGCTCCCAGTCCTGTGATTAGTCAGTCAGCAGGCTCTTTTCACAAGCAGGAACCCAAGATCCCTCTAAGTCTTCATGTTTCACCTACAGAACAAAACAGGCTACAGACCTAATCAGCTCTTGGCTTTATGTGAGTAAGACCTTGTCACTCCCAACACTTAGATTGTGGTGACCCAGACTGCTGGAGTTTCTGGCTGGTTCTGATATAGACAGAGAGAGCTTGAAGGAACCTTTGAGGCCACCTGGGTCAGTCAACCTCTTCCTCATTTTACAAGAGGAAACCAGGGCCAGGAGAAGGAAAGTGACTTATCCAAATCACATATACGAAACGTCTTTCCTTTATTTAAGGATTATCAAGTCAGTAGGAACCCACCCTTGACGTCTGGATTTCTAAACCAAATAGCTCAAATATTTTGGACCATGAGCATTTAAAAGTTTTGGCAAGGTAACAGTCTCTATGATTTAAAATTTTTTACATTTGTCCAGTGATCCTCAGAAAATGAACAAGGTTTCAAATTTATACAGAGCTTTCAAATTTGCAAAGCACTTTACATATATTATATCATTCAATACTCATAACAATTCTCTAGGTAGAGGAAATTGAGGACCTGAGATGTTATGAAATATCAAGTCCTTAAAAAGATAAGTGTCTAAGACTGGAACCCAGGTCTCCTGATTCTACATGATCTACCCTAACATGATCTGTTTCAAACAGACAAAACAAATTTCTACATTCAATGCCACCTTTGGATGGGGGCATAAAAATTCACATACATACATATATACATACATTTACTTATATGTATGTATATAATTGGGGAAGGTGGTCTAGCCACCATAGAGCACAGTGAGAGAAGTAAGCAAAAAGAAAAATATACATAATACATATATACACAATGAGACACACACAACTATGTAAGATTAAAATCATTTTTGTGAAGGCAGACAGGTGTGGAGAAAGATAGCATGGTATAACAGACAGAGAGCGAACCCCGAAATCAGAGAGAAAATATATAGGAGATAATGTTTACGAATCATTTAACACAGTGGCTGGCACACAGTAGAAGCTTAAAAAATATTCATCCCAGGGTAGCTAGGAGGCAAAGTGGATAGAGCTCTGCCCTTGGAGTCAGGAGGACCTGAGTTCAAATCCAGCCTCAGACACTTGACACTTACTAGCTGTGTGACCCTGGGCAATTCACTTAACCCCAATTGCCTCACCTTTCCCTACCTCTGATCCATACTGGTTGTGTGATCCTGGACAAGTCACTTAACCTCTAAGCTCCCTGAGCAACTTTCTAAGAACATAAATTACAGAAGAGCTATTGATCTGTAATGGTAGGAATTTCCTAATTGGTAGGAAGTGCCTAAATCAATTAAATCACAGGTACAGATTAAAAAAAAGTGTATGCCTCTGATCCAGTCTCCTTAATGTGCAGCAGGGGTAAGATACTAAAGTCTGTCTTCTTTGGAACAACAGGAGAAAAAGACAAATGAGTGGCACTCAAGGCCTGGAGTGGGGTGAAAAAAGGGGACATTCAATAAAACCAAGGAGAGGCCTCTTCCCCAGGTGTTAGCACTATCTCCTTCTTGAAATGACTTTGTAAATACTTCTCTGGATACACGCTGGTTCCTGTCCAGGAGAATCCAAGCTCCTTAAAAGCAAAGATGGCTGCATTTTTGTTTATATAATCTGTGCCTTGCATATAGTACGTGCTTGATAAAGACTTGAAGTTCCAGTTATTGACACCTTCTGAAATGTTTGGTGAGACTTTAGACCTTTGGCCAAGGCAACAACAAACCACAATTCCAGAGGCCTGAAGATGACGCTTGCCACCCTCTCCTGATGGAAAGAGGTGACGGGACCTAAAATGCAGAATGAGATAGATTTACACTGGACAGGGCCAATGTGGGAAAGAATGTCTCGACTGACAAAACATCTTTGTTACAAGAGTTTTCTTTTTCCTTTCTTTTTACTAGTGGAAGGCAAAGGAAATAAATGCTTGCTAATTAGAAAAAATAAAAGAAATGGACAGTCAGAGACACCTCCTCCATCCTGCAATCATGCTTATGGCAAGTGATGTGTTTCCTAAAAGGAACCAAGGGAGGGTAAGAGAACAAATGAGGCCACAGGGCATATTTGGCAACATAATATATCCTTATGGTCAACATCTATGTCGATGGTGCCGGGCAAAGCAAGTAACAAATGTCAAGAGGGCACCACACATAAATTCTGTAAAATACACAGTAACAAAACTGCTGCCGTAGAGAGGCGAATGCCCTTTCTTGAAGGCTCACAAGCACCCTGGAGAAACAGTTTTCCCTCACAGGCACTTCTTCGGGGCGCTGGCCATTGCTCAGTCGGAAGGAACGATTCTCAATGAGAACTGGACGAAGTTAGAAGACCAGGCTCTGCAGCCAGCTCCACATACTGTGTGAGTCTTAGAGTCCCTTGCCTCACTAGGTCTTAGTTTCCCCATCTATAAAATGAAGTGGTTTGACTGGATGGTCTCTAAGGTCCTCTCCAGCTCTAATAACCTACGATTTTAATTAAATTTAGCAACGTAACATGTGATCACTCCTGAAAACCAAAAGTAAATTCACTTAGAAATTACTTTGTTAGAAAGCACCATCACACCTGAGAGAGCTCACCTTTTGGAATGAACTTCAGTGAACTACTGAATATTCAGAAGCGGGACTGGCCCTTTTTTGGTCCATCATCAATAAACTCATGACCCAGGCCATTGCCACACTTGCCACAGGATACCTGTAAGTTAAACAAAGGAAGGAACATGAGATTTCAAAAGGACATCCTAGAGCTAAAGTTGATTAAGAAAATACATGCACACATACACACACATACACACCCCCACACACACACACTCACTCCTGCTTTAATTCCCAGCCAACAAATCATGGATTATTTGTTTTTACTTCTTTTCCCAAAGCTAACTGTTCTACCTTGATTTCTGGTTGTTCTAAAGAAAAGAGTCCATAATTTACAATGACTACAAGAATCAAAATGGAAAGGACAATACAATGAAGCTATTTTGATCTCAGAGAAGAGCTGACAAAGTATACCTCACTCCCTTTACTGAACAAGTGGGGACTATGGGTATAGAATATTGCATAACTGTCAGATTACACGGATTTTGCTGATCTTTTTCTCCTTCCTTTTCCTTGGCACAAAAAAAATGGCTTAGTAGGGAAGGAGGTATTCAGAAATGAATATGATATAAAAACAAAAGGTATCTATTTCATAAAAGTTCTTTTTAGGGTTGCTTCAAATGGTAAAAAAAAAATCATTTCACATCTGAATTTTATAAGATTTACATTTCATACCAGTCTCAAACTAATCTTACATAATATCAATTCTCGGGCAAACAACTCCTAATGCCTAAGAAAGCACAATTACTGAATTTGTTAATTATCCTAATATGCTTTCCCCTTACCTTTAAGGCTTGTGGCCTGCCAAACTCTGGACGCTTCGACACACTGTCAGCATGTATTGTCTCAGTGAAGGCTGGCCACGGAGAAGAATGCTGATACTTTGATCGACTAGAAAAGAGCTCATAGCCACACTTGGCACAGATGTAGATACCTAATTGAATAAAACATAGAAACTATCAGTTTCCTAACTTTATACTTAGTAAGTTCCCTTTCACATTGGTTATAAAAGTAATCTGTGTTCAAATCCTCTAACTAGGGACTACTCTGAAGAAAGAGGGGGGAATGATTTCACTTTAACACTGATATCCAAAATGGTGTCTCAACAATAAGACAGCCAGTTTGCATTGGTTCTCAGGTCATAGGCTCATAAATTTAGAACTGGAAGGAACCTTAAAGACCATGGAGTCCAATCCCTTCACTTTACAGATGAGGAAATGGATACACAGACAGGTTAAGTGACTTGTCCAGGATAACATGGCTAGTAACTACCAGAGGTGAAATTAGAACCCAAGTCTTCCTGACTCTTATGTTGAGCACTCTGTCCACTGGGAATGAAACAACAGATAGATAATAGGAATGATTAAAGCTAAAAATGTATTGAAGAGCATTAGGGATACAGCAACTGACCCCAAAGGCCCTTCAACATCTCCTTTAAAAAAACAAAAAAGAAAGAAAGAAAGAAAGAAAGAAAGAAAAAGAAAGAAAGAAAGAAAGAAAGAAAGAAAAGAAAAGAAGGGGAAGCAGCCAGAGATGGTGGAAGAGGCACACACCGGTTCCTGTCAAACTGATCCTGTGCTATCAAGGTCAAGGGTTAGGCACCTAGTAATTTCCAGTTTTTCATTAAGAAAGTTTAAAATGCAGGAACACTAGATAGAATGGAAGGCTTTATGCAGCCCTATATGACTTTGCTACTATTAGTGTTACTATGCTTATGCACTATGAAATGCAGCATCAGGAGAGAATTGTTCGTGTTCCGTTTCACAGAGACAGTCTAATTCGGAATTCCTAATCTGTGGTTTGTTGTGCCATCCACTGGAGAAGGAAAATAGTTCAACTTGGCTACAAAGGCTTCTAATGAGAGAACTCAAACCATCCAGGTTTCACCTACTGATTTTGTTATGACTATGTTCCAGATTTTATCTTTCACTTTCTAAAGTACTTTTTATAATAGCTTTCAATTTCCTGTACCCTCTACCCTTTCCAGGAGGTACTGGCACTGATGACTGAACTCCACAAACATCTGGCCATGCTTCTAATCTCCAATAACAGCAGCTCACTGAATTAACTAGACAGTATTTTATGATCTGATTTGTTCCTCACAACTTTTCAAAGGAGGCAGAACAGTACTTCTTATCCCAGTTTGACACGTGATGATACTGAGGCCTAGAGAGATTAAGTGGTTGTGCCTGAAGTCACACAGTTAGGGTCTGAGCAAAGACTCTAAGTCAAGGCTTCCTCACTATGCCAGGCTGATTCCCTCTAAAGCAGGGAAATTTGCTATTGTCCCAACCTTTGCTCACTAGACACAAGAGAAATTAAAGGATAGCAGGGAAGGTAAACAGAAAGGAAAGGAAGATGATTTTAAGTTGATTGTCAAATGAAAAGGACAAAAGTAAACCATCAAAAAGTCTACACTCCACATATAAAAATAAGCAATATAAAATATAAACTTAATGTGAAACTTTGTCTTTTTTATTACCAAATTAAAGGCTAGACAATCTAAGTATACTTAAAATTCCAGCTAGAAAGAGATCACCGTATCTGCCTTTTGTTGGACACCTGGTAGTCCAAATCCAACCCAGCTGGATGGAAGGTATGCTAGGTGGATCCCCCAAAGGAGGGAAGGGGCACACTTATCAGGGTTACATGCCAGGATCACTCATCCTAATTCATTCCACTCAGCTCCCTTAGCTGTTGGGTTTCAGCTCCAGATTTCAATAACACCATCACACCAGCTCATTTAAGCATTAAACATCTGTCTCTCTGACCCTCCGAGTAAAGTGCTACTTTAGTATAAACGTCATACATTCCCAACTGGAAAGGACCTCAGAGCCTATCTAGTCCATACCCCTCATTTCACAAATAAAACTGTGACCTAACGAGAGTGCCTTGCCCAAGGTTATACGGGTACTAAGCAATAAGTGAAAAGGGTAGGATTTAAATTCTGGTGCTCTGACTCCAAAGAAAAAAGTCCTTTCACTATACTACACTGGAATCTGAAATTTAAAAGGTATTTACTAAGAATGAATGAACGAGCATTTGTTAAGTGCTTACTATATTCCAAGCACTGTGCTAATGATTGGAGACACAAAAGAAAGACAAAGATAGTCTCCTATTTTCAAGGAACTTACATTATAAGACATAGAGAGGAACAGTGGTGAAGGAGGACACTGAACCAGAAAGTTACTGGGATGGTGAGTGGGACTGTAGGGAAGTAGCTTTGCATCCCAACTGTCTTTTAGACATTTCCAATTAGATGTCCTTTGTAAATATTAAAACTCAATATGTCCAGAACTGAACTCATTATCTTTTCCCCAAAACCCTCCCTTCTATATACGTAACAAGGTGTTAAGGGATGAGGGGTCCACCAGGAGGTACAACTGAAATCCCAAAGGTTCATCTCCTTGTAATGTCATCAAGTTAATTATGAAATGCCCCAGTCAACCAAATACATGTGACCCTACTCTCACCTGCCCATGAATTACACCACAGCCCAAACCAAGGCTAAGTGCCCTCTCCCTTGAACAACTGACCCCTGGCATTTCCATCTTTGTGTCTTTCCTCAAACCCAGACTCCCATCTTTTGCTTTCTGAACTCCTACCCATCCTTCAAGACCCAGCTCAAACATTAAGCCCTCCACAAACTCTTTCTTGATCCCCCTTGGTCAGAAGCGAGATATCTTCCCTTTGACCTCTCAGAGCATTTTGTAATACTCACCTCCCAGGACTGCTGCTGTGTAAGCATATTAGTGCTGGACAAATGTCAATTATTACATATCTATGTCCTCCCCATAGAAATTACCTTCATTTACTTATATGCTTACATGTGTTGTTTCCTGACAATAAAATGTAAACTCCCCAGCCCCAGAAAAGAGACAAGAAAATGCACCTCCTTCCCTTTACAGAGGTGAAGGACCTACACAGATGTGAGATGTTCCAGCACCATCACACTCGATGACATGCTGGTGAGTTTTGCTGAAGTGCTTTTAAATTCTTTGTTATAAGACATGGCTGGCTGGAGAGAGGACGAAGAAGAAGTGAAGGAATATAACTGCAAATTAAAGGGATGTAAAAACAAAAGAGAGTCACTTTTAAAAAAAAATAGGAGCTCCTTGAGGTCAAGGACTTCAGTTTTGTCTTTGTATCCCCAGTATCAAGCACAGAGTAGGTACTTAATGCTTATCCAGGTCCAGCTCCTATACTAAATAATTGTATGAGCCTGGGAAATCCTTAATCTCTCTGATGTGAGATTCCATTATCTGCAAAAAGGAGGCTTATATTACCTATCTCACAGGGTTATTAAGGAAGTGTTTTTAAACCTGAAAGCACTACATAAATGCGTTATTATTGTATATGCATATTGTATAGTACTAAATATGTGTGTTATAACACAAGGTTATAAAGTTACTAAGTCTATGTAGTTTATCCTACACGAGTTATTTTAGAGTACTGAATATTTGTGTTATAAGGTTATACAGGTACTAAGTCTATGTAGTCTATCCTAAACTAGAGTTATTGTATAGTACTGAATATCTGTGTTATAACACAAATATCTGTTGCAATAGAAATATTTAGTACTATACAATAACTGTAGTGTAGGATAAACCATAATAATAAGCATATCTTTTTCGGGGGGAAGGGGAGAAGGCAATCTCATCTAACACTTGCTTTGAATATTCTAGGTGCTTAACAATGGCTGTTCAATGATCTAATCCTTTCCAATGTCCTCATAAAATCACAGATCCAGACCAAAAAAATAAAATCCTGTGAGGTAGATACTAAAGATATTATCATCTCCATTTTACAAAGATGGAAAGAGATTCAGAGGGTCAAATGACTTGACTATAAGTTATCAGTGGCTAATTTCAACATAGGTCTTTCTGACCTTAAATCTAGCCTTCTGATAACCACAGATGAAGAAACCAAGGCCCCAAAAACTAAACCCCACATGTTCAGGTGTTCCCAGAAGCGTCTGTCCAAAATGAACTTATTACAGTTTAATAATACTGGGTCTTTAAACATACAAGGAAACCACAGCCTTGGCTAACTAATTTCCCTTCTCTGAGCTTTAATTTCCTCATCTATAAAACAAAGAAAGAAGTTGGACTAAATAACTACTAAGCCCAGGACATTTTGAGAGTCTGTGATTATACGATTTAGTCCCACAAAGGGGAGGAGAGGCAAGAATATTCAGCCATAATTGCCTTCTTCTGAACCTTGAATGAAACCTCTAGTCTTGGACATGGCACGCTTGCTGAATTCAAGTGAACAGGGTGAGCTTCCCACCTGCCTAAAAATGTACTGGGGAGTGAAAACAAAGAAACCCTAACCCCACCAAAAAGGATAACAACTTAGTGCCCAGGAAGAGTTCACAAAGCTCTCCAGAAATCCATCATACAAGAGGAATAATTCAACAACAGATAATATAAAACTGACTTTATGATATAATAGGCTTCATAGGATCTCTTTATAAGACTCTTGCTAAATATTGACACTTCATGAATAAGAAAACAAGATATATTCCAATGTAAAATAAAAATGAAAGTGAACCTGGGTTTTAATACTAGATCTGCTACTTACTATCAGTGTGATCTTGGCCACATCCCCTAACCTCTCAGAGCCACAATTTCCCTATCTGTAAAAAGATACTGGGGGCAGCTAAGTGGAGCAGTGGATAGAGCACCAGCCCTGGAGTCAGGAGGACTCAAGTTCAAATCCTGCCTCAAACATTTATTAGCTGTGTATGTATGTGTATGTAACTGTGGGCAAGTCACTTAATCTCCATGGGGGAGGGGACAGAAAGCCATCGGACTTGATGGTCTTTAAGATTCTTTCCCATTCTAAGTTTATGATTGTTATGGCCTGAGATCCTTTTCAAGTCTAAATTTATAAAACTAGAGAGGGAGAAGAGGGAGGGGGGAGGGAAGTGGGGAGGGAGGGAGAGAGAGGGAAAGGGAGAAGGAGGAGGGAGAGACAGGGAGGGAGGGGGGGGGAGGGAGGGAGGGAGAGGGAGAGAGAGAGAGAGAGAGAGAGAGAGAGAGAGAGAGAGAGAGAGAGAGGAGAGAGAGAGATCGAGCCCTATGGTGCTAGCACAGAGATCGAACATTCAAGAGCATGCAAGGCTTCATTCAGGCCTTCTTTCTGTGATTATTTCCAATTTGCCCCCTATAATATATCTTGTTTGTACACTGTTATTTGCATGTCTCCCCTACTAGACTGAGCTCCTTGAGAGCAGGGGCTGGTTTTTTGCCTTTCTTTGTATCCCCAAAGTTTAACACCCTGCCTGGAACCATAAAAGTCATTTAATAAATCCTCATTGACTTGATTTGAGACCGGCCAAAATCTGGCAAGGGGCAAAGAAGCATTCAGGCTGCCCTTTTGCTATTGTTTGGTGGTTTCAAGTCACGTCCAACTCTCTGTGACCCCTTTTGGGGTTTTCTTGGCAAAGATAATGGAGTGGTTTGCCATTTCCTTCTCTGGCTCATTTTACAGATGAAGAAATTGAGGCAAACAGAGTCAAATGACTTGCCCAGAATCACACAACTGGGAAGTGTCTGGCCAGATTTGAAGGCAGGAAGGACTCCAGGCCCAGCACTCTATCCACTGCGACACCTAGCTGCCATGAATGAACATTTTCTTCAATATTTCAAGATAGCAGTGCTTAGGATGATATCAGGAAAACAAACCCAAAAGTTCTTCGGGGCAAGGAGTAAAACACTGCATAGACTCCTTGTTAATACAGACTCAAATTCATTCTACAGAGTGTCAGCCTTTCTCAATAACATATACCCTGGAGCCCTCTAACACTTCCTACAACGTTAGAAATGAAGCCTCAGGGACAGCTAGGTAGCACAGTAAATAGAGCTCTGGCCTTGGAGTCAGGAGGACCTGAGTTCAAATCTGGCCTCAGACACTTGACACTTACTAGCTGTGTGGTCTGGGCAAGTTCACTTAGATCCCAACTGCCTCACACACACATACAAAAAAAAAGAAGAAGAAAAAAAAGAAATGAAGCCTCAGTACCCCTCCATCAATAGGGAAAGCCTTTAGCGGACACATACCTTGCTTCTTTCTCATTGACAGGGATCTAGGAATTCTAGTTAAAAGCCAGTGGAAAAGCTTAAGGAGCAAAAGGATCACTATATCCTAAGCCACAGATATACCATAGGTAAAATTGCTTTAAAATGAGTAACGTTAAGTGCACTTTTCTTTCTTTCTCTTTCTTCCTTCCTTTCTTTCGCTGGACTTTGAGTCAGGAAGACCTGGGTTCAAATCTCATTTCTGAAAATTTACTAGCTCTGTAACCATGGACATACCACTTGACATCATTAGTAAAATAAGGGGGTTGAACCTCAAAAGTTTCTATGATCCTTTTTCAATTAATTAAAACAACTTCAAACAAAAAGTTAAGTTAAAAAATTTTGTTCCCAGTAAAAGAAAAGTCTTTTTTTTTAAAGAAGCTAGTATTGCTAAATAGTTCTTTTTACCTACAATGTTTTAAAACTGATTCCTGGCTGCAAACATTAAGTTTTTAAAACTTTTATTTAGAAATACTTTTAAGGTAATTGTTTCCTCTGAGTATGAAAGGGGTTTTTTTGTTTGCATTTTATGTTTCAATAAAAGCCCTTTCCAGTAGGAAAAAAAAAACCCTTGATGAGATTTCCCGTCTTTCCACACATCCTCACGTAGTAATTCCATAACAGGACTTCTATGGTTTGCAAAGAGCTTCCTCTCAACTGTCCTGAAAGTATTATTAGCTCTATTTTACAGAGGAGGAAAGTGAGGCGACCTGACCGGAGCCGCAGGGCCCGGGTCTGGGTAGGACTCCAAAGCCTATTTCCAGACTTTCAAGCTCAAAGCAAGCTGACCCTCACACACGCCCCCCCCCAGACTGATTAGACGCTCCGTCTCGCCCACCTCCCTCCCGGGGGAGGGGCTTCTCCTCGTTCCCAGCAGGCCTGGGGCCCCGAAGCCAGTTACCTGGCTCAAAGTGGTTCTGGAAAACCTCTCCGCCAAAAGAGCAGAAAGACATGGCGGCAACCCCAACAGCGCCTCGGGATCCCCAAGCGTACTCGCCGCTCGCCGCTCGCCGCTCGCCTCTCCGCTCGTCCGGGTCTCACCGCAAGCCCCGCCCCCTGCCGCGAGGAGGCCGGGAGAGAGGCGACTCAGTAAGCCCCGCCCCAGGCTGCGCTCGCGCCGTATCCCCAGAAGCTTCAGCTAGCCCTGCCCCCAAAATGCCGTCTGGCTCGCTCTGCGGGGGAGCAGCGCTCTTTAGCTTGCCACGCCTACAGCCGGCCTTCCCTCGGCTCCAGTCAGCTTCCTACCCGACCCGACACTTATTACTGGCCTTGCGTACTCCAGTGACCCTCCCCTCCCCGCTACCTCCACCCCAGCACCCACTCAAGTGTTCCTCAGTCCCGATCCCTGGGATCTGGGGGAAGGGGAGACTTCCTCCCTCGTTCTTTCCCTCCCCCCCATCCTTTAGCGAGTCAATGATAATCAGTCAGTCAGTCAGTCAGTCAGTCAATAAACGTGTATTATATTAAGCGCCTGCTGTGTGCTGGGCACTAAGCTAACTAAACGCTGAGCATATGAAAAAAGGTAAAAGACAGTCCTTGCTCTCAAAGAGTTCACAGCCTAATGGGGGAGACAAGTAGCAAGCAACTGTGGACAAACAAGATAGATACTTGGTTTGGAAATAATAGAGGGAAGGCACTAGATTTGAGAGGTCTCTGGAAAGGAATTTTGGATCAGACTTGAGGGAAGCCTGGAGGCACAGATGAGGAGGGAAAGGATCCCGGGCTCAGGGAGCAGCCGGTGAAAATGCAAGGAGTGGGGACAGTGCAGACAATGGTTTGTCCACGGGACTTCAGAAGTCAGTGTCACTGGATCAAAGGGTCCATAGGGGTGTCTAAGGTGTCAGAAGACTGGGAAGGGGCAGGTTAGCAAGGATTTTGAATGCCAGAGGATATTATCTTTGATCCTGGAGGTGACATTGCGTTGGGCTGATATGGTCAGACCTGTACTTTAGGAAGATCATTTTGACAGCTGAGTGGTGGATGGACTGGAGTGAGGAGAGATTCGAAGCAGGCAGAGCCACCAGCAGGCTATTGCAATAGTCCAGGTGTGAGGTGAGGAGGGCCTGCACCAAGATGGTGGCAGTGTCAAAGGAGAGAAAGGGGCATATCTGTGAGAAATGTTAGGGAAGTAAAATCAGTAGGAAGCGTTCAGATGAAGACAGAGTGGCTTCCAGGGCTCATGGACCTGACCAGGAATAGCTAGTGTCCCTGGATTGTAGTTTACTCCAACAGGAGTTCTGATGGACTAGGTGGGACCCTAGGTGGAAAATAGGATGGGAGGAAAGGGTCTTGAAGGCACACACTGGTAGACTTTGTCTTATTTCATCGACTGCTGAATTAGAAGAGACCTCAGAGATTATTCTGTCCAACCCTTACCCTCTCCATCAACATGAGAGATAAAGTTATTTGTCCAAGGTATCTATCTGGTAGAGTCAGAAGTAGAATCCCAACCCAGGGCTACAGCTACCCCTTCACTGCTCATCCCAAAAATCACCCCCCAGAGTGATTGTTCCTTAAATCACTAAGCATTCTTCCTCTCAATAACAAGGCCCAAGAGCTAGGAGCTTCTGGCCCTTAGGAAACATTAACTTTAGCTAATTCAGACTAAACTCCCTGGCAGATGGCCCTCTGGAAGGGAGAACTTTAGATGTAGGACACACACATGAATGAATTCATCAATGAATGAATGAAAAAGTATTTATTAATCACTTACTATGTGCTAAGAGCTCTGCTCAGAGTTGAGGATGTAAATATAAAGGCAAAGACAGTCACCACCCTCAGAAAGCTTACATTTTAATGCAGAAACAAGCACAGTGGTGACCAAGGAGGAGCGCTTTAGTCAGGAAAATTATGTGGAAGTTATATTTTAATTTCTCTAGAAATATTAAGAAATAAAATTTTCCTCTGCAGCCTTTCCAGATGCCTGGAGAAAGTCCCTTGGAAAGATAGGTGATAGGCTGAGGACAAAAAGACTGTTCATTAGGTGAATAGATTGAAATTCAACTCTGGAAATCACCACTGGATTTCTCACACTCCTCCTCCCACAGGCTTTTTCCTCTTTTTAGCTGGGTCCAGAACCTCCCTTTTAAAGACACCCAGGCCAACCATGTCTTCATTTCTCCCTTGCCTGCACTCCTGACTTTCCTGACTTTCTAAACCTTGCCCCTGAGGGATACCCTTCCTCCCCACCTATTTGCTTTTATGTATTAGGATGTAAGTCTTATATATTAGAACTCCCATTAGAATATAAGCTCCCCAAGGTCAAGGACTGTCTTTTTGTTTCCCAGGATTTAGTGGAGTAAGTATGTAAAAGCTTGTTGACTGAATCTAATAGACCCTATTGGTCTAATTATAGTCATTGCCTCCCCACCCAGGAGAAGTGATGGCTACCCCAACCTACCTCAAAGTAATGTCCTTTTTTTGCATTCAAGGTAAGATAATGATTTTAGGGAAGAAACCCTTTTCAGTATCTGAGGGAATAGTCCTGAGAGGAACATAGTGACTATTCTGGAAATGTTAACCCCAAATTGTATTTAACATATTATGATCTTTTCCTTGCTCAAGATTCCCATAAACGTTACCTAAAATTGTCTTAGGGGCAAAGAGACAAGTCAGAAGGCATAGCGTCATTCACTCCATTCTCAAAATTCCCTAAATAGGGAAACTCTTCCATTTTGGACAGTTCTGTAAATTAGAAATGATTTGGAATTAAACTGATCTTAAATAAAATTGTTTCCAGCAACCTGGTGCCAAACACAGTAGAGAGTTGATTTTTTTTTTCTTAGACAACCTCTAGGGAAGTAAATGGGGAGACATAGGGGAAAAAATTGAAACACCCCATCCAGGAACAATGGCAGAGTTGATTTATCAAGATTTATGGTTCCAAAAGGGGAAGGAGCAGAAAGATGAGAAAGAGTTCTGAAATGAGGAGATTGAAGAGATAGTAAGAGAGAAAAGGAGACAGAATATCCCTAGTGCTTTTTCCTCACCTCATCCTACTTGCCTCCTCTACAGTTTTTGACCCTGGATATTCTTTCTGGATACCTTCTCCTCTCTTGACTTCTTTTATTGTTTTGTTTTTTAGTTTTTATTGATGCTTTTTTTTTGTTCTCACATCATACTTATGTCACTTAACCCTGATCTGTAAAATGGGCTTGTTAGAAGGAAATGGCAAACCACTCCAGTATCTTTACCAAGAAAACCCCAAATAGGGTCATGAAGAGTTGGACATGACAGAAAAACAACCGAACAACTAAAAAGCCTAAATCAGTTGAGTCCGAAACTGGGCTTTATCTATTATCAAAAGAAAATTTGCAAGCTGACAGGCTATCTTCAAAGGGACTCTGGCAGGTAATTTAGGGTTGGGTGCCATCTGGTGGTAGATGCTGAGATTGCACCCTGAGTAGCATCTTGAAATAGGCCGTGTATGTACCTTTACTCTATTTAAACCCACCTGCTACGCAGCTTGTGTAGTTTGTCACCAGGATGATGGCAGTGCCAAAGAAGAGGAGGAAATATACAAGGGATGTTATGAAGATAAAATCGATAGGCCTTGGCTACAGATTGGATGTTGGGGGGGAGGGGTAGTGAGAGAGTGTAAGAGGTTCTGGTTATCTGGTTTGTCCTTCTCGAAGGAGACCCTGACATCAGGAAGAAGATGCCATGACATGCAGGCAAATTGGATTTGAGGGAGGGAGTGCTGTGCAAAGTCACCAGCCTCATTTTCTCTTCCAGAGCCATCTGGGTCCAGTGACCAGATATAGATCAGGACAGTTGGAGATGGCCCAGGATGCAGTGGGAGACCTTGGCCTTTGAAGCTAAGGTCTTTCCCAGTTCCCACTTTGACCGAAGCAAAACCCATTCAGTGATTAGGACTGTGTAAGAAGTGAGCCAAGGGATAGCCTCTTTAATAAAAAAAATCAAAGGGGAAGACCCTCAGGGTGAGAAAGAGAGGAGCTGAGAATAATTACCTAGCTTCTAAGCCTGGGTGGTTAGGCAAATGAGTGATGGTTCTCTGGATAGTAATAGGAAAGATAACAAGGGGGTAGTTTTCAGGGGGAAATATAATGAGTTCATTCTGGACATGGTGAGTTTAAGATTTCTGTAGGACATCAAATTTGAAATGCAATTGTGCCTCTGTAGACAAAACTTCCTGGGCCCCAGCATCTTTTCAGCTCTTCCTTTTTTGATTCTACCCCATTTGGTCTAAGGAGTTATTTAATTCCTAACAATAATTCATGATTTGTCCAATAGTTTTAGCCCTATTACCATAAGTGGTTAATCTTTTCCCCAATCCCACGAGTTATTCAGTCACTTGTAGATAAATGGAATCTTGACTACAATATAAAATGTAAAAGAAAATATAATTTTAGAACTTCAGTGCCTTTGTAGCTGGTCTGACAAGATCTGATATCCCAGCTACCCTCACCTAATCTTCTGTGCTTTGTTTTCAACAAGAACGACCAAAGGCCTTCATAGAAAGTTGCTCCACGTTTCCCCCACTATCAATATTGCAGGGGAAGTTAACTACCTTTAGCTATTAAAGCAGTTAGCTCTCATCTCCTAGCCATCTGCTAGCCACCAGTATCACCCGCAGGGAATGTAGTCTTTCTTCATGTCACTACTTGAGAATCCCTCAGCAAGTAAAAGTGCTCAAAGGTTATCCATTCCTTCATGTCTTCTCTCACTGGTCTCTAGTATTTCTGTCATCTTTTTTGTGAAGAATGGTGACTCTCTGTCTATCTCTGTCTATGTGTCTCTGTCTTTCTGTGTGTCTATCTCTTGGTCTCTTTGTCTCTGGCCACAAAACATTAGAATAACCTCAAGCACCTCCCGTTTATGTTACATACCCAGAGGCCATCCCAGTGTTGTATTTCCTGTTGTGTTTTTTTCTTATGTCTAAAATATCTGGCTCCATAAGTTCACAATATAAGGGAACAGACTGATGAGACACTGGGAGTGGTGAGACCTAGGTGTAGGCATGCAGGTTCCTAGAATTCCCCATTTCCTTTTCCATTGACTTTAGAGGTTACGTCCTATTGGCCATTTTGGGTACATGAAGCAGCTAAACTGGGACTCCCTGCCTGCCACTAGTAGACTTTGGGATTGGCCTCCCTCTGTTGCCAGCAGCTGCAATCCACATTGCTATGTGCTATGACTGAGACCACATTGTGGGTGACGGCAGCAATGGATTGTGGTTGCTGCTGCGGTCTGAGACAAGAACATTTCAGCCCTTGAGAAAGACTTCCTGCCAGCTATGTATGTGGGGAGCAGGGAATCACTGATGATTCCCTGGTGGATGCACAGAGGTAAAACAGACTGTGGAGGAGAAGGAAAGAACCGGTGTCTTTCCTAAGACAACGAGGTCATTGTGATACTCCATCATTCCTGAGTAGTTCATGTTTCCAACCTCTTTCTCCATAAGCCATTAAAATGTGGCAAATACATCAGAGATCCTTTGGAGCATGCACTCAAATGGGTAAAACTCCAGCTGAGACAATGAAAACTGTCTTCTCTCCGTCTTCCTCTGTTAAAGCAATCTGATAGTATCCACTGTGTACTCCAAAACTGAGAGCCATGGGCTGCCAAACAAACAATCCAGCACATCTTGAACTCTTGCATTTGTCCACCTTAGTTCTCTAGCTCAAAATCTACACATACTCATGTTTCCAAATTCTTCAGTACCACCACTCTAAGTAATACACATGGATTGCGGGACTCTCGGATGATGCCAATAACCAACAGTTCCTCACACAAGATACTCCATCTCCTGAATATGGGCGTTTTTGTGGGCTATCCCCATCCCTCCTCATCTCCACCTCTTGGCTTTCCTGGCTTCCTTCAAGTCCCAGCTAAAAGCCTGTCTTCCCCAAGAAGCTCTTCCTGATCCCCCTTAGTGCTGGTGCTTTCCCTCTGTTGATTTACTCCAATTTATCCTGTATAAATCTTGTCCATATTCGTTTGCATGTAGTCTCCCCCATTAGACTGTGAGCTGCTTAAAGGCAGGGACTGTCTTTTGCCTTTCTTTATATCCCTTACACTTAGCACAGTGTCTGGAACATAGTAAGTGCTTAATAAATGCTTATTGACTGACTGAGTTCTTCCAAGTCTTTTCTGAGGTCTTCCATTACAGGCATATATATTATATATACTTATATGTGTACATACATATGTATACACATATACAAGTCTTCCATGTGGGCAAATCCTGTATCTCACTCATGACCACCATTTTATAGATGAGAAAATTGACACAAACAGGGTTATGTGACTTGCCCAGGGTCACGTAGCTAGTAAGTGCCTGAGGCCAGATTTGCACTCAGGAAAATGAGTCTTCCTGACTCTAGGCCCAGCACTCTATCCACTTCACTACTTAGCTGTCCTTTGGCCTAGGCTACTTTGTTCAAATCTTCATCACGTAGTTGTTCCCACTCATAGTCATCCAAGAACAAATGGGGTATGGAAGATTGGTCCAATGCTACAAAGTTTATATCTATTTATAAGACCTGTTTCAGCAAGCTGGGAGAGTTTTCACCTTTCAATAATATTAAGGCATCATAGGAATGGAAGTGGGGAATAGAATAACTTGGCTATCATAAGGACCAGGTTGGATGGACCAACCTGCTATGATACTAAATTTGAATATCTTTTTGAGCCAGCATCTATCTTTTAGATGGCTAGTAAAAGAAATACACTGGTGAGGGCTTGTGAACTACATTTTTGAGTGGATGCTAATCCATGTTCACAATTTACTTTGAACCTAGAGTAGTGTTCAGCAGGCACACATGTAAAGAGTAGAACATGCATGCCATACAAAAAAATACTTATTGAATTTTTCCCAACAGCCTCTTTTATTGAGGAGAAGATTTCTCTGCTAGGGGAGGGACCATTAGGCCACGGTCCTACTCTGGATGCCTAGCTTCTTCTGCCTTATAGGTCACCTGTAGCTGCTTCTGTCTTCTCCTTCTCAAGGTGTTTCTTCTGGGGACCCTGGGGAGGAGGAAAGAGAGATACAGAGAAAGAGACAGAGACAGAGTATGTTATTCTCAGTGTCATCTGGCCTTCTCACACATGTCCTCATATGCACACACATGTGATACATTCAAGCACACAGGAAGCTATTTATACTACCCTCATCATTCATTCCTTCATTCACCCATTACAGATTTGGAGGGCTCCTCAGAGCCTCCCCATTGAAGATCCCAGGCTATAAGTACCCTGGGGAAGAAGCCAGGCTCAAACCCCTCTTCTGCCTGCCCTCCTTCCCCAGAGCTAGGCTAACACCCTCTCTTTTATTCACGAGGCAGGGACATACAAACAAAGTCTGAGTTTATGGGAGAAGCTAGACTCCTCCCACTGTCCCCTACCCTCTCTTTATCTTGCTTGCTTGCTTCCACTGACAGCTAATCTCCCTGGCCTTTAGTCAGAAGCTAACACTAGGAGAATTCAGGAGAATTCAGAAACTGAAAGGGGTCCTTAAAAGGTTTTAGGGGCTAGGGAGGGCTTTCAGGCTTTCAGGCCAATGGGAAGTTAGGGATCTAGTACTAGCAGGGTAAAGCCCTGAGATATAGCTTACCATGAAGGCTCTCTTCTCTTGGGCTGTCTGGAATCTTCCATGTCCAAACTTTGAGGTGGTATCAATGAATTTTAGCTCAATGTTTTCCAGATCCCGCCGGGTTCTGTGCACCAGGAGGGACTGAAGGAGATAGGGGTAGGAGGCACATGGGCTCAAACTAGAGCCTAAGGAAGGTTAGAGTCACAACTGGACTCTGAACTCTGATCTATAATATAAAAAATTATCCCTGTGCCCCTCCCCTGTTCCCTATCCCCATCCCCATCCCAACCCTGACCCCATCTTTAATAGTGGGTTTAGAATTCCCCTTCCCTCTGCCTAAATGTCTTTACCAGTCAAGGACCACCTCCTCCAAGAAGTCTTCTCTGACTATTCTAGTGCTCAGTTATCTCCAGTTCTGAGCCCCTAAAGCTCTGAGTCTGAGCCTCTCAATTTCACCCTCTCCTATCCTGTTCTGTTACCACTGTCTCTGTGCTCACCTCACCCCCACCCACCCCAACCACCAGCTATGAGGTTAGGGCCTGGCTATGCTTCTCCTCTGCAGCCCAAGTGTGGGGACTGAAGGGCAGCTCCTGGCCTCCTCTTCCTCTGTCTTCTTGTAAACATAGAAGCCAAATACAAAAGACCAGAACCAGAATCAGCTCCTGAGTCTTTCCTGACCTTTCGGAGAGTGATGACACGCTTCTTGGTCCCAGCAATGCAACCCTTCAGCATCACGAAGTCATTATTCACTTCACCATAGTGTGGGAAGCCCCCCTAGGACAGGTTGGGCACCAGGATCAGAGCCGGAAATAAGAAGGGGGCATGTCCAGTTCAAGGAGAGGGGAGGCCACAGCTGTTCATCTTCCTGTTTCCTACCCTCCCTCTACCTCCAGGAACACAGAGGCCACAGAGACTTGGGGGACAGGACACAAAGGTTGGGCTGAACTAAGTAGGCCTTTCAGATAACCCAAATACCTCTGCCTCCCACCTTTACCCTCCAACTGAAGGGTCAGAGAGCCAAAGACTCACTCAGACACTGCTCAATGGTCAATGCCAAGACAGAGACAAAAGCTCTCAGGCATTACATGAAGCAGTACGTGGTTCTCAGGATTTGGAGGGGTGGGGGGGGCCTTCACCCAGTCTGCCACTCACCAGGGGTGTGATGGATTTGTCCGTCACATCATAGCTGGTGGATGCATTGTTCTTAACTACTTTCCCATCCTTCACATGGATCCCATGGCCAATTCGGTAGATCTGGACATGAGAATAAGGTAGTCAGGCCCCCTCAGAAGTTAATCACTGGGCCTTGCCCCCACCACCTGCTCTCTAGGGGCTGGGAATACTGAAGTCACAAATATGCACAGTCACTGCGCAGAGGTAGACCATCAGTTCACTTTCGGAGTGTTCCTGGCTGAGCTCCCTCTTGGACTCATTCTTCCTGAGATTGGTTATTGAGTAAGTAGGAATTACAAATCCATTTAGTACCAATCTGAGCTAAAAACTCATGAAAGAATAAGTGAATAAGTGAATAAACGTGTCAGTGAATGAGGATGTGAATGAATTAATATGTGAGTACATCAACTGATAAATGAAAGAACGAATGAATGGGTGACTCAGTGAGTAGATGAATGAGTGCATGGAATAAATGAATGAGCGTATAGAGGAGAGAGGACAGCTATGGTGAATGACTAGAAGCTGTGAGTACCTTCTTATTGAGCTCTGTCCGGTGATGGTAACCTTTCTGGCCAGCTCGAGCAATGGAGTAGCCCACCCTTGCAGGGTGCCAGGCCCCAATACAGGCCACCTTACGCAGTCCCTTATGTGTTTTTCGTGGGAGTTTCTTAGCGTGCCAACGGCTGGTAACCCCTGGAAAGAGTAAGAAAAGGAATGGGTCTTTTTAGGAGCCCCTAGTGGGCCTGCTTCACTGACAGGGTTAGAGGAAGCAGAAATATTGCAACACGCACCCATCCAGTCAAGTGACTTCAAAGGAGCTAAGTTTTTTCCTCAAGGGTCAGCTCAAGTCCCTTCTCCTCTAAGACGTCTTTCCTAACCCCTTCAGTTTACACTGATGTCCCATTTTAGCCATATAATCCAACGCTCCCTGCTTTGTTCTATTTTTATTGTATGAACTTTGTCTCCTATTTCAGGTCCTTTAGTGCAAAGTCTGAGTCTCCTCCTTCTCTGTCTTCCCCCACTAACCCCATAAAGTAAGGATCAGGATCTCCTTTCCCTTATTTAACAACTTCAGGTTAAGAAAATAGAGAGGCAGGGGTAGCTAGGTGGTACAGTGGACAGAGCACCTGCCCTGGATTCAGGAGGACCTGAGTTCAAATCCGGCCTCAGACATATAACACTTACTAGCTGTGTAACCCTGGGCAAGTCACTTAACCCCATTGCCTAGCCAAGAAAAAAAGAAAAAAAGAAAACAGAGAGGCTCAAAAAATACTGATTTAGTATAAGACTAGCCTCATCTCAGAAGCCTTTCCTGTCTCTTTCATTCCACATCAACCTCATTTTCCCTCAGACCAACTGTTGAGACATCACCTTTCATGCCACGGCCTTTTGTAACCGCAATCACATCGATCACCTCACTCTGGCTGAAGACTGTGTGCACAGACACCTGCTTCTCCAGCCGGGCTCGCGCCCATTCCACCTTCTCAGCTATGGTACCACCATTCAGCTGGATCTCCATGATGTGAGCCTTCTTCTGTCGGAATGGCAGCAGCTTCATCTGTGCCAGATAGATCCCAGGTGGTGCCAACCTGATCATACAGGTACTTCCAGTTCTCTATCATCCAAGGGCACCATATACCTTGGGCATTGTAGGCAGGAGTCCCTTTATACAACCCCTTCCCTCCCCATAGCAACAGCTAGAATTGCCCCCAGAATATTTTAGAGGGTGGTTATTAGCTTTAGAGAAGGATACTTCACTTCACAGAAGGATCCTGTTAAAGGGAAGATTTAAGATTGTAGCATCCAATTTATAGGCAACTTTCCAGGAAAAACAAGACATACCCTGCAGTCAGAGCCAATGTTTGATTCCAAACTGATTTGTTCTGTCATGGCATCACACCCCTCAATGACTATCAGACTAGACTCAGAGGAGGCAAATTTATTTTAGCCTCAACCTAAGCACAACAGAATTCAGAAAGTATGTCTGTCGGATTTTTTTTTCAAAGTTACATCATGTTGTGAAGGAATACTGTTGTGCTATAAGAAATGACAAGGGGGAGGGGTGGTTACAGAAAAAACATGTCAAGACCTATATGAACTGATGCAAAGTGAAGTGAGAAGAACCAGGAGATCATTGTACATAGTAAACAGCAATGTTATAATGATGATCAACTGTGAAAGACTTGGCTTCTCTGATCAATACAATGATCCAAGATAGTTCCAAAAGACTCATGATGATAAAATGCTATCTACCTCCAAAGAGACAAACGATGAAGGGGCTACAAATTGGAGTATAATTTTCTTGCTTTCTTCAGGTTTTTTTGCCTCGTTTTTTGGAGCTATGGCTAATATGGAAATGTTTTGTGTGATTTCACGTGCATAATTGATATCATATTGTTTGCCTTCTCAGTGGGTGAGGGATGGGTGGGAGGGATGGGAAGGAATATGTAACTCAAAATTTAAAAAGAAAAAGAATGTTAAAAATAAAAAAAATAAGTTTTTAAAGAGTTGTATCATGCATATTCTAAGTCACAATGACTTCGGGATTCCTAGATTTTCCAATTGTCCCAACCAATTCTCTCCCTCCCACCCCCACTCCCCACCCCCACTCAGTCAGTGCAGAGATCTTGTGTTGCCTCTATTTCTACTCTCCTTTCCTAAGCTTTATAAACATTGTCACTTGACCCCTAAACTCCACTTCCCTCTTTCCTTTCAAGGAAGTATATATCTGTTTTAGAAGTAGGGAAACTGAGGCAAAAAGCTACGGAAAGGACTTGTCCTAGGGTACCTGCAGCTTAGCTATGGGGCAGAACATAAGAACCCTAACCCCAAGACAAAGCTTATTCCTCATCTTAACCCACAGAACTGCACAACTTGGCAACTCCCTTGAGCTGGGACTCACTCACAGGTTATTTTTAGCCTGACATTTGAAACAAGTGCTGAGCTGAGACAGGCCCCATGGGGGCTCAACACCTGCCCAGAATAGGAGCCCTCCAGAGCTGCAGCCAGACTGACCTGGGTGTGGACAATGACACGGATGACCTTGCAATACTTCTTCATGGATGCAAAGTCTTTCTGCAGCCGCTTCTTCCCATCTTCATCTCGCCATTTCTGGCAGGCCTTGGTGAATGCCTTCTTCTTGCTCTTGTACCTAAGGGCAGGAAGGGTCCCACTCACCCCATGAATCCCGTTCAGTGGTCACTTTAGTTCCCGTGGTCAACTGAGCCCCAGTGGTCATTCAAGAGTATATCCATCCTGCCTGATGGTCATTCCAACTCCCATGGTCATGCTAGTCCCCATGGTTGGGCTCAGTGGTCACTCTGGACTATGGCCACTCTGCCTGATGGTCACTCCAGTTCCCATGGTTACTCTGGCCTTTGAGGGAATTCCAGCTTCAGGATCTACTCTGATATCACTGGTCACTCCAGCCAAAATTCATTCATTGCCCCCTTTCCACAGGGTTGCACTATCCCACGGTCACTCTATCACATGGGCACATTGGTCCCTGGTCACTCTGGCTTTGGTGCTTTCACTCACCAGTTCTTGTAGAAGCGGCGCCGGCATTCATCACTAAGATGCTCTGCAAAGATAGTCTTGAAGCTCCGAAGGCCCCGAGGGGTGGCCACATAGCCTACGATTCCTACCACAATCACGGGTGGGGTCTCCACAATGGTTACGGCCTCTACCTCCTCCCTTTTGGACGCCTCTGGGAGAGAGGGACCCAGGGAAGGTCAGGTGACCTGAGTGAGCCTGTAACCGCAGCTCCTGAGGGTCACTGTGAGTAGATGAGAGGTATAGCATTGGGAGTAGAGGGGATTGTTGGCCCCAAAATGTATTCATCGCCCATAAAATGTTGGCCGTACCAGAGGATCCTTAAGCTATTCGTGTATCTATAGGACTATCACCCAATGGAAAGTTGAGCTGGACTTGTTCTGCTTAACCCTAGAAGAAAGAACTAACACTAGTAGACAAAAGTTACAGGGAGACAGGTTTCAGCTCAGCATGGAAAAGAAATCCCTAACAAGTGGAATGGGCTGCTGCAAAAAGTAGTTAGCTTCCAGTCACTGAAAGTTTTCAAACAGAAGCTAGATAACCATTTGTCAGGGATGCTATAGAGGTGGTTTCTACATCAAGCTGGAGACTATGTCAGAGAGAGGAAATATAAGGATCATTCCACCTTTCAGACTCTGAGTCTGATACGGAAATGAACAAATTCTGGGGGAACTAGAGCTACAAGACTTATGGTGTCTTCTAAATGGGACTGCAAAAGAATACAAGTATTTCTCAGAGCGAATGGAACTTTTTAAAAAATTGATCATGTATCAGGGCACAAAGCTATTATAAACAAATTTAAAAAGCAGAAATAGTAAATATATTATTTATAGATCATAATGCAATAAAAATAGTGATTAGTTCAGATTCTGAGTCTGAAAGGCAAAAGCCATAACTAGCCTTCAGTGAACAGGGTTTTGTTTGTCCCAGGGTACCAGTATCTAGGCTGGGTGTGGGGGCACATTCCCCCCTTCATTGGCCTCCATTCCTTGTATCCTGATTCATAGTCTTTGGCTGGTTATTGATATTGTAGGGTACCATCCCTTGGTCCCCATCCCTATCGTTTCATCACCATAGTATCCCTCTCCCTGAGCCTACCTTCTCCCCCTGAAGTGCCTGTAGGGATGAAACTTATACTCTAGGGGATGAGAGACTACAGTACAGTCTTCCTTCCCAGTGTTACTATACCTGCAATAAGACTGGCCTCTGTGCCCCCCAGTCACCCAGCTGTTTCTGCCCTTAGGCAGAATAATTTCCAGACAGAACATAATTCCATGTTATAGCTCTACTACAAAAGACTGACTATGTCCCAGTTAAGTAATGATCCCTTGTTCCCCTACCCAAGCTCCTGTTATTCACTCACTGAGGCCAGGCCGGTGGACTTCACGCAGAGTGTGGGTCATGCCAGCTTTGTAGCCCAGGAAGGCTGTGAGATGTACAGGTTTACTGGGGTCATCACGGGGCCAGGTCTTCACCTTCCCTCGGTGCCTCCGGCTTCTCTTTTGGGGCAGGAAGCCCAGGTGGCCATGTCGAGGGGCTGAAAACTTCCTGTGCGACTAGAGAGCCAATGAAGTAAGCAAAGGGTCATTGTAGGACCTTGGTGAGAGCAAGGCTCATTTCCTGTCCCTCTCTGTCTCTGTCTCTGTCTCTCTCTGTCTCTCTCCAAATACAAGGCACAACTAAGTGAGTAAGACACAGCTGCATCCTTTGGCAGGGAAGGGGAAGGGGAAGGGGATAGCATGGTCCAAGGATTCTGCAGCCAGAAGAGCGAGGGAGATTTTCAAGTTTAGGGGCTGGGGCAAGGACCAATTGTGTCTAGACTAGGTGTGTTTTGGAGTCCCCAGAGCTTTATAATTCCTCATGTCCTTCTCCAGCTGTGTGTCAGACAACGAGGGGAGAGATCAAATTGAAATGGAGTTTTCGCAAACAAAATCCATCACCCCCGCTATTGACAGACACGATTGCACCCAAAGGCAGAAGCATATACACAGAGACATAGAGATACCCACACCCACGCACATATACAGATACCTATACGCACAGAGGCAGTAAGATATAATAGAAAGAGACTAAACTTAGTCAGAAGTTAAATTGGGACAAGAGACATCTTTCTAGGACTCAGTTTTCTTATATGTTAAATGAGAGGATTGGAGCAGATTCTCTCTTCTGGTTCCACAATGTACAGTCCTATTATAAATATGTCCGTTGACCAGTCAGCCAATCAACAAGTATTTATTAAGCACCTATTATGTACCCGCTGCTATGCCAAGTGCCCATAAAGAAATGAGACCTATGAGTCAGAGAGACGGTCACAGTCACAGTCACACCTACCAATGTGCACAAACATTTATACACAGACACAGAGACGTGGATATTTGGCAAATATACTGTCACATGTGCATATGTATGTGTGTATGTGTGTGTGTGTGTGTGTGTGTATATAGGTACATACATACAAACACACACGAAATAATACAGTGAAATGGGGGTTCTTACTAGAAGGTTTTCACATGGAGCAGGGCCATATCTATAATGGGGTGCCCATGAAATAGGGAGGGGAAGTGGAGACTTCTTCCTATGGACATTTTCTTTCCAGCTACCACTGCATCTTCCATCAAATTCCCACTGGCCCTTCATAACGCAGTGTAACTGTCCCCCTTGCCAGGCTCCTGGATGCCACCTTTCAAGGTTCCTATCCTACTCATAGGAAGCCAATGGGTCCCAGCCAGACTTTCTGACAGACTGATCACCCCCAATCACAGCATGATTGTACTCATATGGATCAAACTGTTCTCTGTACCACCACTACCACTACCCCCACCCCCAATCCTATGGCAACATTTTTTTATATTTAATTTTTTCCCTCAATTACACGTAGACAAAAATTTTTAACATTTGTTTTTTAAAATTTTGAGTTCCAAATTCTCTCCCTTCTCCCCTCCCCTCCCCCCACCATGAGAAGGCAAGCAATTTGATATAGACTATACATGTGCAGCTATGGCAACATTTCTAGTTACAGCCCTGACATGGAGACCCTGGATAGATATTCCCATCTATATCTACATGTGTCTGCTAGGCTGTAAGCTTCATGAAGGCAGGAATGGTCTTGTTTCTTTTTTATCTCACACAGTGCCTTGCACAAACTTCAGTCTCCCAGGAGCTATAAAGTTCTCCATGTAAACCCCCTCCACCACCCCAGACTGAGACCATCCTCTGACAATAAATAGCCTTTGACAATGGGGTGGCTGAGACCTTCACCACCTTGCGACTTTTTTGAATTGCCAGGTCTATCCACTAGAGTTTTTCCAGCTCTACAACTCGTCCTCCGAGTTGATGCCTCCCTGGCGCAGTCTTTGAGAACCCAAGGTGGTCTACTTGCTATATAGGAAGGCTTCTGAGGACATCTTTAGTGGAGGGCATTGCAGAGAGCAGGCCCTTAATAAAGGCTTGTTGAATTAAATAAGCATTGGTAACACCCACACACATGCCCCTCTACCTGCTATGCCTCAAAAGACTAGGGGTTTTTATTTAAGGCCTCAGTCCCACCCAGACTACCCCTGTCCTCCCTGTTGCAGTCAGTAAAATGCCCACAAAGACCCTCAAAGTCCTAGTCTCCTGGATTCCAGTCTTTACCTGGATTAACCAGGCAAAGGATCCCCTGAGGCAGCCCAGGGGCACAAAGTCCTATAGTTCCTCTAGAGGGGCCCTGCTTTGTCACTGCCCACCCCCATCCCCGCTATATACCCCCCAGCCTAAACTCAAACTGACCATGGCCGCCTTGCAAGTTCTTGCTGGGCAGGAGGGCACCTCCCCGACTGGCTGCTGACGGCTTCAAATGCCCCAGATCAGACACAGGCACAAATTTAGCTCCTGGCTCTATTCTCAATGAATTCATGTCACCCATGATGGACAGAAGGCAGGCCAGGGGCAGAGGAGGGCGTGTGGAGTAGGGAGGGGAGGACGGTTAGAGGCAGCAGGCCGCAGCACCAGTCTTCAAGGCTTAACCCAAGGCTGGAGGGGCTGTGGAGTGAGACTTGGGGATAGAGGTTGAGGGGTACAGTGGAAGATCTAGGGATTCCTCTTCTTCCTCTAACCTCTGCTGTCTGGCTCCACCACCTGCAGATTTCTTCCAGAGGAGCTCCACCTGACAGGCTTTGGCAACACTGCCCCAAGGCTATTAATAGGCTTTATAGCTGAAAGAGGGTTTAGAGATCATCTGCTCAAATCCCTCATTTTACGTGAGGAAACAAAGTCCTGAGAGGTTAAAAGTGACTTGTGCATGGTAGTGAGAGGCAGAGCCAAGATTCAAAACTATGTCTTCCAACTCTAAAGTCAGTGGTCTTTCTTTTTTTCCCAACCAAAAAGGAAGGGACGACTGACGCAAGTGCTACACTGGGCTGCAAAGACACTGCCAGCACACTGGTGCAGGCCCTTATCACCTGGCTCCTGGATTATTGAACCACACTGCTCACAAGTCTGCCTGCCTCAAGTCTCTGCCTTTTCTGTTCTATTTCCTCCTTATCCTGTATGTAACTTGTTTTGTGTATATTTGATTTCATATTGTTTTCCCCTTTAGATTGTAAGCTCCTTGAGGGCAGGAATTATCTTTTGCCTCTTTTTGTATCCCCAGGGCTAAGCACAATGCCTGGCACATAGTAGATACTTATTAAGTGCTTATTTATTTATTTAGTCTACCAACTATGTGCTATATTGAGCCATAAAGAAACCAATTCACCTAGTAGGTTCCAGGAACTGGGCTAAGTCCTTTACCAATATTATCTCATTTCATCCTTATAACAACCAGAAGGGGTAAGAGCTGTTATTATCCCCATTTTACATGTAACCCTTGTCCCAAAGCCCATTGGCATGGGATTCTTTCTTTATGGGTAGAGATGAATGCCCTACCCTGCTTGAGGGGCTGGGCAGAATTAGAGAGAGGTGAGGGCATCAATTCTCCGGAGTCCCTCTTTGGAGATTCTCCATTTGAGAGTCTTTTGTGGAATCAGCTTCCAGCTTTGAGAGAGATGGAAGAGGCCAACCATACTTCAGGTTGCTGAAGGAAGACAGGGGAGGAGCAAGCAGTTTCTATAATGTTTCTATTTCCAGCTTGCTACTCTACAGATTTTGAGGAGCTCCCCCTTGGGTGAGATCTGGGACACTATCTTTGGTTGAGCTAAGTTATCTAGCTCCTAATGGGAGAGCTCCTTCATTCTGTATTAACTGATATATATTCCCCTATGTATACCTTCTCTGGTTTCTGTTTTGCTACAGTTTGGATAAATGGGCTTCCTTGCTCTTATCTATGTGTGTTCATTATGGAACTGGTATCCGGTGGGAAAGGAGTCCAACCTTGGAAATGGAGCTTGGGATCACCTTGGGGTTAAGTGACTTACCCAGGGTCATACAACCTGTTTAACCTAGTGCAGGAAAAAAATCAATCTGGGAGGGGAAGACCCTCAGGATTTCTGGCCAAAATCCAAAAAACAAACAAACAAACCTAGATCAAAAGATTAATGTATAAGCACAGTGAGGATCTCAGGACACTGGTGCATTTTCCAAGATGGATCCCTGAGTGCCACAGATAGCAGCTGGGCTATGAGGGTCATTCGAAGGAATAAATTTCTACTACTGTCCATGTTATTGACTGAAGTTAATCCAGTATGATACGGAGAGACCCTGTGTATACGAATTCCAAAGGAAGACATGAGAATTCATGACCTTTGAACTCAAACCTGATGTCCTCTAGGTATCTCCAACTCACATCCAAAACAAAACTTATCTTTCCTCCCAAACCCTCTCCTATTATGAACTTCACTGTTACTGTCCAGGCCATGGCCATCATTCCAGTCTCCCAGGCTCACAACCTTGGTGTCCTCCTCAGCTTATCACTCTCCCTCTTTCCACGTGTCTTATTATTTCTTTCTATAACTTTTGCATGCCCCTTTCTCTCCACTGACACAGCTACCACCCTACTTTAGATTCTCCTCACCTCTTAACTGTATTGTTGTAATAGCCTTCTCTGCCTCATGTCTTTCCCATTCCAATCCATTCTCCATTCAGCTGCCAAAGTGGCTCCTCAAATATGGTACTCCACTTCCCATCTTTGTGCCCTTGCATTGACTGGTCTCCATCTCTGGGATGCTTTCCCTCCCAACCTTAAATTTTCAGAATCTCCAACTTCCTTTAAGACACAGCACCACTTCCTCTAAGAGTCTTTCCTCATTCTCCCCCACACCCAACTTTTTGTGCTATCTCCTCTGTTACCTAACATGTATTCTGTTTTTATAATAGACATTCTGATTTATATATGTGGTATTTCTCATGTAATCTCCTGGGGGGCAGGGAAAGTTTTAGTTTTTGCTTTGCATCCCCAAAGCTGGTATGTAGTAAACACTTACTAAATTCTTGTTTGATTGACTGATTGGTACTTTGCATCTTTCATGTAATGAGCCTATCTCTGGACCAAGATTTAGCCTCAATGGGGGTTTTTTTTGTTGTTATTTTTTTGTAGGGGTGATGTACTTCCTGGCGATCAGACTCCCTGATACTCTCCCTACCCTTGATCCAATTCAATTGAATCCAACCAGAACCATAAGTAGGAAAGAACAATCCAAGCTTTGATCCCACACTTAGAGGTTGGTGATTGCACTCAAAGTCCCTTCAGCACCTTATTTAGCAAGAACAGTTAGAACAGAAAGCTTCCCCCTTCCCTGACCCATGATGTCCCCAGATTTTCTGTCTCCTACCCCCTCTCAATTGAGTACCTGCCTTGTGCCCCTTTCTCTGGAGCAGTTTGTGGTGCTTGGAAAGGCTTCCAAGACCTAGGGTCAGAGTCTCACTTCTCATCTATATATTGTGTTACTTTGAACAAATTGCTTAATCTATAGATGGTACAGTGGATAGAGTGGTGGGCCTGGAGTAAGAAAGACACTGAGTTCAAATGTGAGCTCATATATTTACTAGCTATGTGACCCTAGGCAAGTCACCTAACCTCTGTGTGCCTCAGTTTCCTCATCTGTAAAATAGGAATAATAATAGCACCTACTTCCTAGGGTTGTTGTGAGAACCAAATAAGATAATAATTGAAAAGCTCTTAGCACAGTGCCTGGCACATAGTAAGAGCTATATAATAGTTTGCTATTTGGTGGATAATTAATGATAACTGAGGAAACAATTTGAGCTATACAATGCATTAGCATAACAGGGATAATAAATAGGTCAATGGATTCCCCAGTCAGTCCAAAGACAGAGTGAGACAAATGTCTATGTACTAAAAACAATTCATCAAATAAGACCAATTAATTAAAAGAAAACAATTAACCAGAATATAAACCAGGATACAAAATTAGGTAATCTGATTTCTAATTGGAGGAAAGATTGGGGTTTTCCATGTTGGGAGGGGAAAGAGTGAGGTTCTACAGAGAGTGGGTTTTGGGGTCTTTTTCTCAGAATTGAGAGATACCAATTAATTGCATCCACCTGGATTTATGAAAGAATAGATGGCTTGTACCAGGGGTGGGGATCCTGTGGCCTTCTAGGGTGCTTGGCTTCGGCCTTTTGACTGCGTCCCAGTTTTACAGAACAAATCTTTTTATTAAGGGGATTTGTTCTGTGAAGCTTGGATTAAGTTAAAAGGCCGCACTTGAGAACCTAGAGGGCCACAGGTGGCCTCCAGGCTGCAGGCTCCCCACTCCTGGCTTATACTATCTAGTTTCCCATGGATGATTTGCAGAAAAAGAACAAAATGGAAGAGAGAATACACGTGGCAGCACAAGATGGAGTCGGTGTCCTTGAAAATAGAATCGCATTGGTTCTCTTGATCCCCGCACAAACCAGCTCCATTTTGTATTAGCCTTTGCTATCTTATCAGCCCCTCCCATCAATAGGAAGCCCATTTCATTAATCACTTATCTATAAGCCAGATCTATAAGGTTTATCATAGGCAGCTCTCAGACTCTCTTAATTCATGCTAGGGCCTTCTACCTGTGATTATCTTCAATTTATTTTGTATATATTTTGTCTGTACATAGATATTTGCATGTTGTCTTCCCCCTTACACTGTGAGCTTCTTGCGATCTTTGCATCCTCAGAGGTGACTACAGTGCCTGCTGCATAATAGGCACTTAAACGTTTGTTGATGGGAACAGACCTTGTTTGCCCAGTCATTTGCGTGTTGCTCAGCTCCTTGAGGGCAGAGGCTGTTAGTTTTTTTCGGGTTTTTTTGTTTTTGTTTTGGGGGGGTGCCTTTCTGTCCTCAGCACTTAGTACCGTGCTTGGCACACAGCAGTTTAATAAATGCTTGCTGACTTGACAATAAAGTGCTGATGGGCATTAGCAGAGGGAGTCCCTTACAGCACCGAAGAAATCATAGGCCTAATTCAGAAAAAGCAACAACAACAAAAACAAACCAAAAACCCAACCCAAACACCAAGGCTTAATTCTCTCTGGTCTAGCCTTCTTCCGGCCTTCCTAAGCCCCACCCATCAACCACTGCCAAAGCGCACAGACTACGATTCCCAGAGTGCCCTGCGCGTGGGGGGGGCCCGGGAAGGATGGCCTCCAATGCGCAGGCGGGCTCGAGGCCCCGCCCCTTGTCCGGTCCCCTCTGACCGTCCTTTGCTCTGCAGCGGCTAGGCCGCGCGCGGATCCGGCGGAGGGAGAGCTGGGGGAGGGGAAACCTGGCCTGTGTGGGCGCCCTGCAAGCTAGCGAGCGAGCTGGGAGCCGAGGCCTAGAGGACCCCGCCCCTCCCCGTCACCAAGCCCGCAGCCGCGATGTCCAAGGACTGGGACAAGGATGTGTACCCGGAGCCGCCGCGCCGCACACCGGCGCCCGACCCGATCACGTCGCTGCCCAACCCGATCACCATCC